TTTAACACGCTGCTCCATTGCATTTCTCTCCATGGAAGACCTGAAGCGCAACGGTTGCGATTTCATTTGTTTTCATTTGATTGAAATTCGTTTTCTAATTGAGATATTAAAATTCCACACGAGCCAAGCCCTAAAATCGAATTAATCTGTATAAATAAAAGAGTCGGCCCTGACTAATTGCCTGACTGACTGACTGATTGACTGATTGACTGATTGACTGACAGACTTATTGACTGACTGATAGTCTGACTGGTTGACTGACTGGCTGACTGACTGATTGACTGACGGACTGATTGACTGATTGAGTGACTGATTGTCTGACTGATTGACTGACTGATTGACTTACTGACTGTTGATGGATTGACTGACTGACTGATTAACTGATTAACAAACTGACTGCCTAACTGACTGACTGACTGACTGATTGACTGACTAACTGACTGATTGACTGACTGGTGAGTGAGGCACAGCTCTAGGCAAAAAAAACTATGAAGACCAAAACCATCAAGACTAGGCAAATGACAAAGATCCCAATGGTGAAAAGACGATCGCTTGAGCATCGGCTTAGCAGTGAAGAATCCAAAGTTCAAATCCAAAGGCTCTTATCATATTGTTATAGACGAGCTCTGTGAAGAAACAAGATTAGATCTCGGTGGATAAGACGCGTGTTGGAAATTTGATTGGCTTGGCTTAGGTCCAAAGTTGGGGCGAGGGGCACAAACAATATGAGTACGACTTGCAACGCTTGCAACATAATTCATTTGACCCAGGCAAAGCCGAGTAATTTCTTTTAGATATTAATAATTTGTCAATGTTCAATTTTGAATAACTCGTTTCTTTTCAAAGATCTGTTAGAATTCGTGTGCAACGGTTTATCTGGATTTACTGGAGTCGGGGGCCAGTTTTCTATGGATGAGGTGTTATTTGCACTCCCCGTTTGGCATGGCCTGGTGCTCTTCTTCTTTAACCTCTTCTACTATTTCTTCTTCTTCTACTTTAACTGCTTGTTCGTGGCAAGCTGACTGACAGTTTGAGTTATTGGCCAAACGGACAGCTCGAAAGCAGCAGTGACTAGTCACATATTATTTGTAAGCCGCTTAATGTTTGCCTCCTTGCCCTTGCCCTTGCCCCCTCCCCCTCCCCTTCTTTGCCGCACTCAACGCCTGCTATCACAAATTTTGTGGCGGCCTCACGTTTTGTTGTACTCGCACAAATAGAAAATTTCATGTAGAAAGAAGAAATATTTAGCAAGAAGCCAAAGTCGAAGTCGAAGTCGAACGATTTCACTAACACTAGGGCCAAGCCAAATGCTCAGCCAGCAAGTAAACTTGGCTAAAACGGCGACACACACACACATAGACACGGGCAGCGCAGTGAGCCAAAAGGCCAATAAACCTTTGAGAAGAGACAGCGTCGAACGCGCGGCGTTGTCTTCGCTGGTAGCCAAAGCGCCAAAAGACTGAGCCACTGTTGCGGCTGTTGTTGTTGTTGTTTTTGTTGTTGTTGTGGTTGCTGCTGCTCATCGATCACACACACACACACACACACATACGTACTGAAAACAAAAAGGGAAATTTTTAACAAACAAAAACAAAAAAAAAAGTTTGCTTTTGTTTTTTATTTTCATTGCATGCAAAAGACAATTGAAAGTGCGAGACGACATCTGCTAGTTGTTATTGTTTTTGTTGTTGTTGTTGTTGTTGTTGTTGTTGTTGTTGTTGTTGTTGTTGTCGCTGCTGCTGTCATTAAATTATTCTAAAAAGCATTCGTGCTGCTATTTGTTGTTGTCTGTTGTCTGAGGTGCGCCGCTTGATTTGTTTTGCCAAGCATTCAACTATTTGTTGTTGCTGTTGCTGTTGCTGTTGGTTGTTGCTAGTTGCCGCCGCACCCACAACTTGGAGGCGGGCAGACAGGCAGCAATTGAATAAAAGAACGGCGCATTGGGTCGCCCCCACAAGCAGCTGCTATGCAGATATCAACTGGGACGCGCAACTGTGTGCACGATCTATTGCGAAGCATTAAGCCAGTCGATAAATTATCGAATATTTGGCTATCGAAGTTTAAACTATCGATAAATTATCGAATATTTGGCTATCGAAGTTTAAACTATCGATAAATTATCGAATATTTGGCTATCGAAGTTATAAATATCGAATACTTAGCTATCGAAGTTACAAATATCGATCAATTATAGAAAACTTAGCTATCAAAGCTATAACTATCGATAAACTATTGAGGAGCTATCGAAATTATGAAAGTTATCGCCAAACATGTCGATACATTTGTTGATATGTTTAGAAAATTATAATTTCATCTGTTGTATCGATATTTTCATCGATTGCTTATTTCAGCCATTCATTATTATCGATTACTCAAGTCAAATACTTCGAATAAATTAAAGCTTTCTATAGAACAATTTTGGTGCCTACAGCTCACTCAAATAAACTGTCTAATCTATATTTCATCAATAGCTTTCGATTGCTTTGAATCGATTAATTGTAAGGGTAACTTTAATTGATAAATGTATTCGACTTTTACGGTCACTTTAGCCGCAATATATATTCCACAATTCAAGCTACTTTATAGATCGCCATGTTATCAGACAGCTACTGATTATGGGGCGAAATCGATCAGATATCGATTAAATTTCTGTTTGTTATCGATAAGTGGTCGCAGCTACATCTGTACATAAGCAAATGTTTACTATGTAATCAATAAATGTATAATAAATATGATTTGCAAATATATGTATTGGCCATTAGGGATCGATAGACCGATAGAAAAGCTGCTTAAGTTATCAACGTATCGATAACTTAAGCAGCTTTTCTATCAACGTTATCAACGTATCGACGACTGAAACTCTATTCGATTAGTCAAATCAGATTGTAAAACCAAAATAGTTGCCGAGTGAAACGAGATGCAGATGAGACGTCGCGACAACTAAATTAAATTTCACTCTGATGGATTTCTGTGTGCGTCGTTGTTGCAGTTGTTGTTGTTCGTTCGCTCTGACTAAGTATTTTGTTTGAGTAAAGTAAAAGCCAATTAACATCTTTGTCGCATTAACATGCACACCAGCTAGAAGAAGGTGTGCGTGTGCGTGCGTGTGTGTGTGTGTGTGTGGCACTCTGAGTGCCTCTCTTTGTTATGCATTTGTTGTGTTGTTGTTTTTGTTGTTGTTGCCTGAGCCCTGTTGCTGGTCTGATCGGTTGCTTGCAAGAGGCGAACAGCGATAAAAACAGCAAAGAAACGAGGCAAATAAAAATAACAACAAAAAAAACAAAAGACTTAGGCAACGAACGTGAACCAAGAATGTTGAGAGAGTCGCAAGAGGCAACTGCGCCAACTGCTGTTGTTACCATAGCTGGGGCGGGTTGTGTACATTGGATACGGAAGTGGCACACACACACACGCACACTCGCACACACACACACACACTCATAAAGAATGAAAGATAGAGAGTGAGCGAGAGCGAGAGCGAGACAATTTTAGTTGAGAGTTCGTCGAAGCAATTCCATAGTCGAGTGGCCAATGCGGAATTCTTTGGCAGCCGGAACCAGTTTTTTTTGTGTTACTTCTACCAATTTTTTTTTACACATACATATATATATATATATACATATATTTTTCAGTTTTTATTTTTTGCTTTTGATTGCCTTTTTCGCTTTGCCTTTTCTCCATATTTCTGCACGCTTAACTGTTCGGCGTTGTATACCGTTGCAAGCAAGCGTTCTCGACATGATTTGCCAAAATGCATTGCCCCCTTCTCTCCGCTTCTCATTCGCCCAAGCAACCAATTGAATTAAAGACCGAAGCGGCGAATTGCGTTGAGGCTACGCTCGCTCCCTAAAGCCAAGCCAAAGTCGTTGCAGTCTGTGCCACAGCTGCCCCGCCTACCCCCCCATCCTCCTACTTTGTTGCCCCATTGTGGCAGCAGCAACCGTTAGGCGTCCACAAACAAACTTATGCAACTGGGAAGAGTACCGTTACTGACTGACAATAAACTGAAATCGATCCGCTGCCCAATCCGAAACCGATGAATCGAGACATCAAATAGAACAAGAAGAAGAACAACGAAAAACAGGTACCCGAATCTAATTAAAACGTATGCAACAGGTGTCGACTGCGGCAAACTGTAATCTTTACATCGGATTTTATGTTTTTTGAACACTTTAATAAGCGATTTTAAAGTTAATGGAACTGTGGTCGCTAGAAGAAGAGAACTTTCTGAAATTCGAGTCTGCAGCGTTTAATTTGTAAATGTATCATCTTACAGAAATAAGCCATTCTCCTAGATTACATTCCGCATAAATAAGTCATGGAAAGCCTTTTTTTTTTTTTAATATTCCCATTGTCCGAATAATATTAAGCATGTTTTTTTTCCGTTTGAAGTTGTTTCATTGCTCCAGGAATCATTTTTTTTTAGAACAAGAGGACATTTTTCCGAAGAATGCAGGAAATATATTGGAACTTAACGAAACTCTAATATAAATATATATATAAATACGACGAAATTGGGGTAGATAAATACTAAAAATATATAGTTTCATATATAATTATTTAATGTAACTGAAATGGAAGAATTGCAAATGCCAACTGCATAACGAATGATGCTTTAGCTGAATCTCTGCCGCTTTCAAGGTATTTTGACTGGCTTTTGATGAGCTCATTGCATTGATTGATTGAATAGATATTCCATTAAAATAAATAATGAGCAGATTTCTAAGCAAAGCGAAAAACAACGTAGAATAACTAACAGAATGTGCAGCTAGTGGCATCTCTCTCCCTCTCCCTACAGTACCTTAGCCGGCGCAGTAATGCAAATAAGTCTTTTCCAACACATATCAATGTAATCGAATTTACCGTTGTGACTTCTTATTGGCTAGGATTTGGATGGCAATGACATTTGGCAGTGATCACAGTTATCGGTAATCGATAGCTTATATGTAGCTGTGTGTATACAAACATTCATACTTGTTGCATGCTAATTCATCACTCACTTGCTTTGTTGTTGTTGTTTGCTGCTCCCTCGTTTCAGTTAACTGTTGCGCTCCCCGCTGCCGCTGCCGCTGCCACTGTTATTGTCCACGTTTGTACTTTATATGCTTTCTTTGTATTCGTATTTGTATTTGTGTATGTGTGTGTTTGTGTGTTTGCGTTTTGAGCTCTGCTTTTTTCAAGCGTACCGCGTTCTCTTCTGCTTCTACTTCTTCTGCTGCTGCTTTCTACGTCACTTCGTCACACACATTAGAAGAATTCTACTACATTTCATGCGTTTTGTTGCTGTTGTTGTTGCTGCTGCTGCATTGGCCTCTTCTCCAAAAGCTCTCTATGTGCATATGTGTGTGTGTATGCACAGGTAGACTAATAAATCAAATATGAAATATCAAAGCGCGCACTTGCAAAAAAAATATATAAAATACTACAATTTGTGTTTATTTTGTGACTATGTGTGTGTATGCAATAGTAAATCGTGGCACGCGCGCACTAAAAAAAAAATGTTCAAATTAGACCGACCGATTCTGCGCACACGACCTGCCAGCTATAAAACAGAATTTACAATGAGCGCCGAGCGATGCTCGCGTTTGCTCTCGTCTAGGCTTGTTCGATAACAGACTGTTAAGTGCAGCGCAATATGCGTTATGGTATCGATGCTGCGCACGTAGCGCCAACAAGCGACTCGAATTTGCGTTAGCAGTGTTCTGTAAAACTGAACCTACCAGACGAATACCATGTTTAATTATTCACTTATATCCGGCTAAAAAAAAATAATACTGAGCAGAGCATATGAAAAAGTAAATATATATATTGTCAAAAATAATGTTCTTTTAGTTGCGAGCGAACATAAATATTCGCCGACTCAAAATGGCACTGTTATGAGAATCTAAATGTTCTGTTGTATTAACAGCTCAATTGAGCAGTAGCAGACAAGCTGAGCATAACAGTATCATTTGCAGAACAGCAACCAAATTAATTATTTAAATAAACAAAAATTCAATTAAGACGTGAACCGTGTGTATGTGTTGGTTCACCAAAAATTAAGCCTAACAATGTCCACAGCATCTGGATGCGAGCCGCCCACGAGGTGCAGCAAATGCCAGAAAGAGACAACAACCCCAACAAATGCAGCCGAAGTTGCCCACTGTACCGATTGTGTTAACCTGGACGCAGCAGCAGCAGCCGAGCAGCGACTGGCGAAAACTGAGGAGCCTGTGAAAATGGAAATTGATGCCGATTTGACCACTACAGAGACATTGGACGAACTGGATGAGCTGGACGACAACAGGCCAACGATAAATATGCAAATTAATGCCAATGGGAAAGGTATTGGGAAGGGTAATCGGAAAACAGAGGAGGAGCCGCCAGCCAAGGAGGAGCCGCCACACGGGAGTCAAACTTCCAATGAGGCCACCGTGGATGACGTCAAGGCGAAAGCAAACAGTCCCGCTACAGTTAAGGCCGAGGCCAGCCTCGAAGCCGATGGCGACGCAAATGCAGATGTCAGATGTGTATCCAAAATGGCGGAGACCAGCCCGGCGGAAACAGCCACGTCCCAGACGCCGCAGCGCGCTGGCAAAGTGACGCGCAGCAGCCTCAATGGCGCCCGATCGCCAACCATAATCAAACGGCTGCGAAAAAGCACGCGCAGCACACGCTTCAAATCGAAGCTAACGGGACGTGGCAATACAACCGGAAGTGGTGCAATCAATGGCCACAATGGCCAGGTCGTCGGCGGTGCTGCTGGGCAATCGCCTGGCGGTCCGTCACATGCGGCCGGCGGTGCCAAGGCACATGGCAAAACCGGAGCTGGCGGCGCTGGCGCCGCATCCGGTGCACGCAATCGCCGCACCCTTTTCAAGCGTCCCGCCCAGAAGACGCCACGGGTGCAGGCCTGCACGCAGTTCGTGAAGAGCGTGTTCTACAAGGGCAGCTACATGCAGATCGGCGACATTGTGAGCATCGTGGATAGCGAACAGAACATATTCTATGCCCAGATTCGGGGCCTACTGGTGGATGCCTACTGCGAGAAATCGGCGTTTCTCACCTGGCTGATACCCACGCAGGACAGTCCCGATCCCCAGGAGGGCTTTGATCCAGCCACCTATCTAATTGGTAAGCCAATCATAATTGAGAAATATTCGCGTCCGCCAATGCAAATGGTCTCATTGCCTTTACGTTTCAGGTCCCGACGAGGAGCTCTCCCGCAAACTGTGCTATCTGGAGTTTGTGATGCACGCGCCCAGCAATTACTACTACGATCGCACGACGCCCTTCCCGCTGCCCGATGTGGATGAGTATACGACGCACCGCACAGGCGGCTACATTTGGACCCGATTGCCGACAGTCAAACGGGAACGGGAGCGTGAGAGGGAGCGGGAGCGAGAGCGAGAGCGCGACAGGGAACGGGAACGCAAGGCGGCTGCCTAGCAGAGGCCTAGGCTTAGGAGGCGCAACCTCAAACCTAGGCTTACTTTTTAGATGGCAACAGCTTAATTTATTGAAGTATGCGTTTAGCACATAAGAAACTGATAAAAACACAAAAACTGGGCTAAGCCGATTATTCTGTCTCGGACTATCTCCTCCTCCTCCTCCTCCTCCGTCTCACTCAAATGTAGCTGGGTGCCAGATGGTGGGGGGATTAGTGCTTCTCTTCGTCATCGGCGTCGCAGTATTCGCGATAGGCGCGATCGGCATCCAGATCCATCTCCAGCTGGAATCGTGCGGCGGCTGCCTCCAGATGCTTGCGCTTGCCGCGCTTCGGCTTGGGCGGACGCTGTGGCTTGGGCGTGGGCTTCGTTGTGATCGGGGGTACCGCTCTCACGTGGCTGTGGATCGGCGCCAAATGCTCCGAACTGGACAGCTGTTGGCACAACTGCATGCGCTCCGCACTGACCGCCTCGGCGAGGAGTATGCGCAACGACAGTTGGTCATCTACCATGCTGCTGCTCAGGGCGGCTGCCCGGAAAGCTCCATTTGAGGGTTGGCTGGCGTCTGGCTTCGGCCGCGGCGGCGATGGTGGAGTCGGCGGCGATGGTGGCGACGGCGGTTGTGGTTCGACGGTGTTAACATCCTCCAGTTGAATGGCTGCTTGCTGTGAATGGGGCATGAATATGGCTGCCTGTCTGGCCGCGCGGAGTTCGGCAATTACCTCGTTAATGGCCGCCTGGAGGCGTGGCGTCACATGGATGTCATTCGCATTGCGGGTCATCAGCCAGCACTGCTCGACCACATCGACGAGCAGGTGATAGATCATCTTAACCAGCTCGCGCAGCAGGGCGCTGCTCACGCTCGAGACGCTGTCCACGGTTCGATTGATTGCCTCCTTGTTGCTCTTCAGCAGCGGATCGAGTATGTCGTCATGGATGAACTGGCTGCCGCTGCCCAAGCTGGGCAGCAGCCAGCACAAAATGAACAGCTTGAAGCCACTCAGGAAGGGCACCCACGGCTCCAGGCAGCCGGTGAAAAAGTGAAAGGCATTGAAGACGCCAAACACAATCCAGTATTTCATCCAGGATACCTGTGAGCGTAGGTTGCCGTTCAGGCTATTGTATGTCGCGAAAGCCGGATATAGCCAGCCGATCAGCATTATGATAAACTCGTAAATCATGTCGAAAATAATTGTGGTTTTCTTTCTTTTTTGGTTTATTGGTAACTAACGTTTTACGCCCGGAGAAGTCACTGAACCACGGCACACGAAATTTGTGAACAAAATTTCCTATTTCTATAATTTCGATATTTCGGAGCACGCCTCTGTTTTTGTGAAAGCACTGTTTCAAGTGAGCTACACACCTCTGCTCCAAATACAACAAACTATACAATTAAAACGATGACTACTTGATTTTAATTAATTTGCTTTCGTTGCTTTCAAATTGAAAATGAAAAGCCCGCTATGCAGTGTTGATAAGTGCTGGCATAAAAATCGCTATCGCTCGTACAACTCACGCAAAAGGTGACCGCGGCAAGAACGTTATTTCGACTAGCGACGGGCGTTAGACAATTTTCTGTGAAGACTCGAAAATTCAATAAGCTCGTTGAAAATATTACCAATACGTCACGCCGAAGAGATAGCAACTCTTGACAAAACTTGAAGCCCTCAATTGCTTAATATCCTGTTATTATTGCCAATGCAAATGCCCAGGTCCGATTACAAAACCCAATGACTAAAAAAAATATTGTATTGTTTCCTAGTTCTACCAAAACTTATAACTTGTAATTTTTATCGGAGTTGATTTAGTAGTTATTGGATGATTTTATTTTGTTAATATGGCATGTGCACACCAACGCGTCTTGTTAATTCGTGGCGGTTCGTGCAACGATGAATGCACGACATGCACCCAACTCTAATATCGACTGCGCAATTCTGACGTCACAGGCTCAATGCCAATTGTCGGTCCTCTTATTTGCGTAACCTTGTCTATTGCGCTAATTCCGGCGTCATATTTTGAAAATGGAAGCCGAAGCAAATATTTCATGTGAAAGGGAGAAATGCTTAAATTCGCCTACTGCGCGCCTGAGCGATGTGGATGACATCTCCGATATTGACGTAGAAGATGTTGTAGACAAGCTGCACAAGACGATAACATCGAAACCAGTCTACGATGAGAAGAGAAGCATTTTCAATACCACACTCGACCTGGCGGAAGGTGAGCCAAAGTCACGCCCAAATATAAATAAAAATATAAATGTATATGTATATATACCAAACTTAAACTTACACTTAAACCTTTCAGCGGGATCTATTTGTGAAACAGCCGGTGCTGCCATTGAGGCGTATATGGAGAGCGTTGTGCAGGAGAAACAAAATTGGGAATCCTTTGCCACCAAATACATGCACAGACCGGGCGCATTTGGCCCTGCGGGAGGCGTTACCTACAGGCCCAGCGAGGAGCAGCTGGCCTACCTCGGTCAAGGCCCCAATCTACAAAGCTTTATACGCGGATTTAGCACGTTTATGAACGATGGAACGACGTTCATGCTGGAGTTTGAGGAAATCCAAGAGATACAGGAAAACCTAAAGGAGTGCTGTCAGTCCCTGGCATGCCAAATACAACGCATCAACATAGCCGAATCTCAGACAAATAGAATGCGCGACGAATGAAACATATTTGTAGTTGCTTTTTTTTTACGGCTCATAAACATTAATTATTAACAGGTACAAATGGAACAAACATTTTATGAGCTCTATAGGCTAGCCAACAGCTGTGTGGGTGTGTTGTGTGTAAGTGTGTGTGTGTGGTGGCAGTTTACTCCTTGTTCCAGGCGGCCAAGTACTTCATTAGATCTGTAAGGCTCTCGAAGTCCGTGCGGCTGTTAGCTGGCTCCTCCCTGCTAATGCGTGGCAGTGCGTTGCCCATTTTCATGCGAAACTCTTCAAACTACAATAAATTAAATGAAAATATTAATTAAACCCTCGACAAGCGTGTGAATGTGTGTTACGTACATCCTTGGCGCCACTCAATTTCCAGAATCCATAGCAAAATGCCCCAGTGCCCAGCACCGCATAGAGTGTGCCCCATCCGAGTGCGCGCATAGCCAGCGTTGCGCCCTCGTCCATGAGTATAATGCCCTGGCGTGTGCCCTGCTGCTGCAGCACCTTGCTGTCTGACTTCTTGGCCGTGGCTAGTGTGCGCGAGAATCCAAACAGTGCAGAGATGCCGCCGACGAGACCCATAAATGCAGCCGCTTAAATTCGGTATGAAATGAGCTTCTATTCGTTGAATTTATGTATTTGCGTACCTTGGATGCGAAATTTGCGCCGCTTTTCCGCTTCCACTGCATCTACGGCGGGGCCGGCTTCGCTCATCGTGAAAAATCTTTACTTATTTTGATATTTTTTTTTGTATTGTCGTAATCGCAGGTCGTGAAAGTTGTTGCCCTAACGATAAATCGATAGGTATTTGCCCGATATTTGCGATAGTCACGAATAATAAACATGACAGAAAACAAATCAATAAAATTAAATTTAAACGAACATCCATGCCTTACAACAATAATAATTAAGAGAATCGCTGAACTTTGATAATAACGATAGTAATGCCTATGGAAACAACAGCGAGTGGAAATAATTTTTTTAGAGCGTGCTTTCGTAACGTTAGCCGCAATATTGTTATTAATTTAAATTTATTATCGACTCTTAAAATGCAATGCTGAAAATCGCAACCAACAATATCGTTTAGATATCGGCGCTAACGTGAACATAGAGACAACCTTAATTTTTCTGTAGCGGCAACTCTAGAATGGGCAAGAGAGACAGCTAACGAAAAAAATGTTTAGAATTGTCATAAAAAAAAGACGTCAACATTGTTGCACAACAAGCCCAGTAAAAACCGAACAACAAATAACAAACTGTTGCTGTGCGCAGCAAAATTACCGCGATAAGTGTTGCCTTCGATAACGCTATCGAACAAAGAGAAAGGTAAACGCAGAGTTGCATTGCGCTCAAATCGGACACCCACTAAATTTTTTAGTGCGCTTTACGGACTGCGTTGCCTCGCGTCTGCAATTGAAAAAACGCGGATTTAGCAGCTAAAGTCCATATTAAAGTGTATTCCCAACACAACACGAACAATTGTAATAAAAAATGCACTAAAACAACGCAGCAAACGCCAACAACTTATTGTTTTTTCCTGCAATTTTCAAGCGTGTGCCCATTGCGCTGCTCTGTGGCTTTGTCACGCGTGCAAAATTTTCATCAGCTCTCCCTGGATAAATCTTAAACTTTTCGCATCGCAATGAGCACCACGACGGACTCGAAGGCGCCGCTGCGCCAGGTGAAGCGTGTGCAGTTTGGCATTTTGTCACCTGACGAAATCGTAAGTACCATCCAACCCAAAGGTGAAATGCGAAATGTGAAATCGACGCCATATTGAAAATCAATTGTCGCATTTAAGTAAACAAGATGCACACAATGATTCACTAGAATTATCGGCGGCCACTTAACCCGAATTGCCCATCTTTTGCCAAATCCTTGTAGAGGGGGGATTTACACTTTGTGACGAAATAACAATCCGAACTCGCTGCCGCCTCCCACTTTGTATATATGTATATACTCCAGACCTGGATTCGATATAAGAATGGAGTATTCATAAGCATTTCAAGTTGTCCCAGACCTAACAGCGAACTCTTATACTATAGTATAGTCGTATAGTATATAATAATTCCATATAATGTGATCAAGAAACAGTCCCAAATCTCTTGCAGCTTGCCAGCTTCCTTCCGCTTCCTTGGCGCTCATTTTCTCAGGGATCAGATCAGATCGCGCCAAACAACGACCGCATTTTGACTTCGTTTCGTTCCTCTGGTCTGTGGAAAAACTTTAAATATGTTTTAGCCTGTCGTAAGGCATAAAGAAACCTGCACAGATCCTTAAATAACTTACAAATTATGGGATAAACTCACAACTTGATTGATATTTTTGGATATTTGTAAATTTTTTGCATGACATTTTTGGATTTATCCAAATTTGTCGCTGGTTCTGTTCAGGGTTCGAACCAATGTCCTACTTTAAAGTTCCGTTCGCATATAAACCTAACCTCAAATTCAGATTCTTAAGGCTTCGTTCTTATTTTGCCCATTGCCGGGCTCCAACAGGTTCGGCTTTAGGCTCATGTATTCTTGATCAGCTTCAGCAATCGAGTTGATCGTGTTGATCATCAATCAGTCAGTCAATCAATCAGTAAAATGCATAAAGTCATATATTATTTAGCTAAAAACAGGGCTAATAAAAAGGAATATCTGCATTCGCCTTTATGAAATATATAATACAATTTGAAATTAATTTTCTGATGCTTCAGCGCCGGATGTCTGTGACGGAGGGCGGCGTACAGTTTGCGGAGACGCTGGAGGGCGGCCGTCCGAAGCTGGGCGGCCTGATGGATCCGCGACAGGGCGTCATAGATCGCACGTCGCGCTGTCAGACGTGCGCCGGCAACATGACCGAGTGTCCCGGACATTTCGGGCACATTGATCTGGTCAAGCCGGTGTTTCACATTGGCTTCATCACAAAGACGATCAAGATATTGCGCTGCGTGTGCTTCTATTGCTCCAAGATGCTGGTGTCGCCGCACAATCCCAAGATCAAGGAGATCGTCGTCAAATCTAAGGGCCAGCCGCGCAAGCGTCTGGCCTACGTCTACGATCTGTGCAAGGGCAAAACGATCTGTGAGGGCGGCGAGGACATGGATCTGACCAAGGACAATCAGCAGGTTGATCCCAACAAGAAACCCGGCCACGGCGGCTGCGGCCACTACCAGCCCTCGATACGTCGAACCGGCCTCGATCTGACCGCCGAGTGGAAGCACGTGAACGAGGATTCGCAGGAGAAGAAGATCATTGTGTCCGCTGAGCGCGTCTGGGAGATACTGAAGCACATCACAGACGAGGAGTGCTTCATATTGGGCATGGATCCCAAATATGCCCGACCCGATTGGATGATTGTCACAGTGCTGCCCGTGCCGCCGCTGGCCGTGCGTCCGGCTGTCGTTATGTTTGGCGCGGCGAAGAATCAGGACGATTTGACCCACAAACTGGCGGACATTATCAAGGCGAACAACGAGCTGCGCAAGAACGAGGCCAGCGGCGCCGCCGCGCACGTCATCCAGGAGAACATCAAGATGCTGCAGTTCCATGTGGCCACACTCGTCGACAACGACATGCCCGGCATGCCGCGTGCCATGCAGAAGTCCGGCAAGCCGCTGAAAGCGATCAAGGCGCGTCTCAAAGGCAAGGAGGGCCGCATCCGAGGTAATCTTATGGGCAAGCGTGTGGACTTCTCCGCCCGTACGGTCATCACACCTGATCCCAATTTGCGTATCGATCAGGTGGGCGTGCCGCGCTCTATTGCACAGAATCTTACCTTTCCGGAGCTGGTGACACCCTTCAACATTGATCGCATGCAGGAGCTGGTGCGACGCGGCAACTCCCAGTATCCGGGCGCCAAATACATTGTCCGCGACAATGGGGAGCGCATTGATCTGCGTTTTCATCCCAAATCCTCAGATCTGCATCTGCAGTGCGGCTACAAAGTGGAGCGGCATTTGCGCGACGACGATCTGGTCATATTCAATCGACAGCCGACGCTCCACAAGATGAGTATGATGGGGCACAGGGTGAAGGTGCTGCCCTGGTCCACGTTCCGTATGAATCTGTCCTGCACATCGCCGTACAATGCCGATTTCGATGGCGACGAAATGAATCTCCATGTGCCGCAGTCCATGGAGACGCGCGCCGAGGTGGAGAACATACACATCACCCCGCGACAGATTATAACGCCGCAGGCCAACAAGCCCGTCATGGGCATTGTCCAGGACACCCTGACGGCCGTTCGTAAGATGACCAAGCGTGATGTGTTCATAACGCGCGAACAGGTGATGAATCTGCTCATGTTTCTGCCCACCTGGGATGGCAAAATGCCGCAGCCGTGCATTTTGAAGCCGCGTCCCCTTTGGACGGGCAAACAGATTTTCTCGCTGATTATACCCGGCAACGTGAACATGATACGCGCCCATGAAACGCATCCCGACGAGGAGGATGACGGGCCCTACAAGTGGATATCGCCCGGTGACACCAAGGTTATGGTGGAGCACGGTGAACTGATCATGGGCATACTCTGTAAGAAGACGCTGGGCACATCTGCCGGCTCCCTGCTGCATATTTGCTTCCTGGAGCTGGGCCACGATATCGCTGGCCGGTTCTACGGCAACATCCAGACGGTCATCAACAACTGGCTGCTGCTCGAGGGCCACAGCATTGGCATTGGCGACACCATTGCCGATCCGCAGACGTACAACGAAATCCAGATGGCCATCAAGAAGGCCAAGGACGATGTCATAAATGTCATCCAGAAGGCGCACAACATGGAACTCGAACCGACGCCCGGCAACACGCTGCGTCAGACCTTCGAGAACAAGGTGAATCGCATCCTAAACGATGCTCGTGACAAAACTGGCGGCTCCGCCAAGAAATCCCTCACCGAATACAACAATCTAAAGGCCATGGTCGTGTCCGGCTCGAAGGGCTCCAACATTAACATCTCACAGGTGAGTGTTCGAAGGCTGATTTTCACGCGCTTGAGCTAATCCCAATCCCGTTTAGGTTATTGCTTGTGTGGGCCAGCAGAACGTGGAGGGCAAGCGCATACCGTACGGCTTCCGGAAGCGCACTCTGCCGCATTTCATCAAGGACGATTATGGTCCCGAGTCCAGAGGCTTTGTGGAGAATTCCTATCTGGCCGGCCTGACACCCTCCGAGTTCTATTTCCATGCCATGGGTGGTCGTGAGGGTCTCATCGATACGGCCGTCAAGACAGCCGAAACCGGCTATATCCAGCGTCGTCTGATCAAGGCTATGGAGTCCGTGATGGTCAACTACGATGGCACCGTGCGTAACTCTGTCGGCCAGCTGATTCAGTTGCGTTACGGCGAGGACGGCCTCTGCGGCGAGCTGGTCGAGTTCCAGCACATGCCCACGGTCAAGCTGTCGAACAAGGTGTTCGAGAAACGCTTCAAGTTCGATTGGTCCAACGAGCGCTACATGCGGCGCGTCTTCACGGACGATGTAATCAAGGAGATGACAGACAGCAGCGATGCCATACAGGAGCTGGAGTCCGAGTGGGATCGCCTGGTCAGCGATCGCGACAATTTGCGCACAATCTTTCCCAATGGCGACTCGAAGGTGGTGCTGCCGTGCAATTTACAGCGCATGATCTGGAACGTCCAGAAGATCTTTCACATCAACAAACGCCTGCCCACGGATCTGTCGCCTATGCGTGTCATACGCGGCGTCAAGGGCCTGCTGGAGCGCTGTGTTATCGTCACCGGCAACGATCGCATCTCAAAGCAAGCCAATGAGAACGCAACTCTCCTGTTCCAGTGCCTCATACGCTCGACGCTGTGCACCAAATATGTATCCGAGGAGTTTCGACTGTCCACGGAGGCGTTCGAGTGGTTGATCGGTGAGATCGAGACGCGTTTCCAGCAGGCGCAGGCCAATCCTGGTGAAATGGTCGGCGCTCTGGCCGCCCAGAGTTTGGGCGAGCCGGCCACCCAGATGACGCTGAACACTTTCCATTTCGCCGGTGTCTCCTCCAAGAACGTAACACTGGGCGTGCCCAGGCTCAAGGAGATCATCAATATATCGAAGAAGCCAAAGGCGCCCTCGCTAACCGTTTTCCTGACAGGCGGCGCGGCACGCGATGCGGAGAAGGCCAAGAACGTGCTGTGCCGGCTGGAGCATACGACGCTGCGCAAAGTGACGGCCAATACGGCCATCTACTATGATCCGGATCCGCAGCGTACGGTGATAGCCGAGGATCAGGAGTTTGTCAATGTCTACTACGAGATGCCCGACTTTGATCCGACGCGCATTTCACCCTGGCTGCTCCGCATCGAGCTCGACCGCAAGCGCATGACAGACAAGAAGCTGACCATGGAGCAGATCGCCGAGAAAATCAATGTCGGCTTTGGCGAGGATCTCAATTGCATCTTCAATGATGACAATGCGGACAAACTGGTGCTGCGCATACGCATCATGAACAACGAGGAGAACAAGTTCCAGGACGAGGACGAGGCTGTCGACAAAATGGAGGACGATATGTTCCTGCGCTGCATCGAGGCGAACATGTTGTCGGATATGACGCTGCAGGGCATCGAGGCCATTGGCAAGGTGTACATGCATCTGCCCCAAACGGACAGCAAGAAGCGCATCGTCATCACGGAGACGGGCGAATTCAAGGCAATTGGCGAGTGGCTGCTCGAGACGGACGGCACCTCCATGATGAAGGTGCTCTCCGAGCGCGATGTTGACCCGATACGCACCTCCTCCAACGACATTTGCGAGATCTTCCAGGTGCTCGGCATCGAGGCTGTTCGTAAATCCGTTGAAAAGGAAATGAATGCCGTGCTCCAGTTCTATGGCCTCTACGTGAACTATCGCCATCTGGCGCTGCTGTGCGACGTAATGACGGCCAAGGGCCATTTGATGGCCATAACGCGTCACGGCATCAATCGACAGGACACGGGCGCCCTTATGCGCTGCTCCTTCGAGGAGACAGTCGATGTGCTAATGGATGCCGCCGCCCATGCGGAAACGGATCCCATGCGCGGCGTCTCCGAGAACATTATCATGGGACAGCTGCCCAAGATGGGCACCGGCTGCTTTGACCTGCTGCTGGACGCCGAGAAATGCCGCTTCGGCATCGAGATACCCAACTCCTTGGGCAGCAGCATGCTGGGCGGCGCTGCCATCTTCATGGGCGGCGGCTCTACGCCCAGCATGACGCCGCCGATGACGCCTTGGGTGAATTGCCATACGCCGCGCTACTTCTCACCCTCCGGTCATGGTAAGCTATCTCTCTCGCTCTCGCTCGCTCTCTATTGCCATCTCTTTTGCTTACGTTAACGTTTTCTCTTACTCTCTTTTTTAGTGAGCGGCATGACGCCAGGCGGACCCAGTTTCTCGCCTTCGGCGGCATCGGATGCATCGGGTATGTCGCCCAGCTGGTCGCCAGCGCATCCTGGCTCCTCGCCCAGCTCACCGGGGCCATCGATGTCGCCACATTTTCCGGCCTCGCCGAGCGTCTCGCCATCGTATTCACCGACATCGCCCAATTATACGGCCTCTTCGCCGGGCGGTGCATCGCCCAATTATTCACCGTCGAGCCCGAACTATTCGCCTACATCGCCGCTTTATGCGGCCACCAGTCCACGCTATGCGTCGGCGACGCCCAACTTTAATCCACAGTCGACCGGCTATTCGCCGTCGTCGTCGGGCTATTCGCCAACATCGCCTGTGTATTCGCCCACGTCGAATTTCCAGTCGAGTCCCTCGTTTGCTGGCAGCGGCAGTAATATGTATTCGCCGGGCAATGCGTATTCGCCGAGCTCGTCAAACTACTCGCCCAATTCGCCGTCTTACTCACCGATGTCGCCCTCATATTCGCCGTCGAGTCCATCGTATTCGCCAACGTCGCCCTGTTATTCACCCACATCGCCCTCGTACTCACCGACTTCGCCGAACTATACGCCCGTTACGCCTTCGTATTCACCGACGTCGCCCAACTATTCGGCCTCGCCGCATTATTCGCCAGCATCGCCGGCATACTCACAGACGGGCGTAAATTATTCGCCAACATCGCCAACGTATTCGCCGCCGTCGCCGTCGTATGACGGTTCGCCCGGCTCGCCACAATATACGCCCGGCTCGCCGCAATACTCACCGGCCTCACCCAAATATTCGCCGACGTCGCCGCTGTACTCGCCCAGTTCGCCGCAGCACTCACCGTCGAACCAGTACAGTCCGACAGGATCAACATATTCGGCGACGAGTCCACGCTACTCGCCCAACATGTCCATCTACTCGCCGAGCAGCACCAAATATTCGCCCACATCGCCAACGTACACGCCCACAGCGCGCAACTATTCGCCCACATCGCCCATGTACTCACCGACGGCGCCCTCGCACTTCAGCCCCACGAGTCCCGCCTACTCGCCCAGCAGCCCCACATTCGAGGAGAGCGACGACTAAGGCGGCGGCCTTCCTCTGAATTGGAGGATTACAATGGCATCTTATCCATCAAAATCTAGCGACAGTCCCTATATATATATATATATATAGATATATATATGATACTTCATTGTCTTTGTGACGGCGGCGGGCGATCTACAGTAGAGCAGAGCCGGACACCTCACGCTATTATGTATCTATATCTATAACGATATCTATGATAATCACACACATATATATATACATATATATGAATATATGTGTAGCTAATTTCTTTTTTTTTTCGCCTTTCTGTCAGTCGATCTATTTAAGGGCGATGTTATTAAATTTTATACATATGCAACAAATCCTCCCACAAATATATAATCTTTTAAGTTTAAAGCGCCCCCGATTAAGCACAATGACAAACGATAGTCGTAATATAAATAAAACAATTAATAAACATTTTTGTAAACCACAAAAATTTAAAGTATTCATCTGTTTGTATAGATTATATATATGTAAGTATAACTCTGATAAGTCGAGTAGTTTGAGTAGAGAACAAGAATAACAAATCAAGGCATCTTCATGTAGAGATTCGCGTTTCAATTATTTCGAATTCCCTTTCTAAGTATAAACTTTTCCGTATTAGCCTTAATATGATATAGTAGTCCGATTTTGTTAAGCCTTTGCTCATATGTAAAACTTCGTAAATGTTAAGTTTTGTCCGCATATCTTGAAGAATCTTATACAAGTTTTTTCATACAAGAGCTTAACTTTTGCTTGCAACTATATGATATAGTAGCCCGATCCGACCGATGTTTAAACATGCACTGTCTGCAAATGATAGACACATCTGGGCAGAATTTCGTCATGATAGCTTTAAGAATAAGAGAAAATATATATTCAGCATTAAGAGCCGAGTCGATTAAGCCACGTCGATCTCAGGGACTATAACAGCTAGAGACTAGAAATTCGGATCATATTGCCCGCGCAGATTTAATTTATATCTTTTCCAAATTTATTGCCTTTGGATAGCTCCTCCCCTCTTCCGAAAAATTGTAATAGTTATTTGAATTTTATAAAGATCGGACTATACACACCGAAGTATTTCAAGCACGTTTTATGTGAGTGCAGCTATAGAAAATAGTTCAAATTTTGATTTCAGGCATATCGTATTCTCATTCGAAACATGTTTTTGTTTAAAAATAGTTTAAGGTATTTTTAAAAAATTGCAAAATTGTTTAGTTACAGACATTGTGCTAAAGTTTCGGTATAATATTAATTTTTTTTTATTAGAATTGATTTTCTCGGAGCTGGCGACACCAAATTGGGAGTTGAACCTTTGGAAAACTTGAATTTTCTTAAAGATCGGACTTTAAACTCTGAATTATTTCAATTTGCCATGCATAATGTGGAGCTAAGGGAAGAAGAAGCACATTTGCTGAGTATGTATCTATAGAAAATAGTTCGAATTTTGATTCTAGGGATATTCTCTTTCGAGACTTGGTTTGGTTAAAAATAAAATGTTTAACGAGCTCTTGAACCTCGACCCGTTAACCGAACCCATTTGCGGGACTGCAGCCTTAAGCCTCCTCAGACATATATAGACATGAGAGTTACGATTTAAATGTAAATAAAAAAAAGAATAGGTATATGTATTTGCCATAATAGATAGATCAGTAGTTGTACAAGTAAGTGCCGTTATGCTACATGGGGTAGGGTAAACAATATCGATACGAACTATGATTAGTATTTGGACAATATATATATATATGTATGTATATATATATATATTATAGATAGGTATTGGTAAGTATCTAAGCATGTGTGAATATTCATGTATATATATATATATATAGTATAGGTAATCAGCTACTAGTAAAAACTCTTAACTAAGGATTATAGCCAGAGCCAGAAGTCGAAAATATGGACTCGTAATGCTCCCGGGATTTCGGTATGATGCGAATGCTTAATGCTAAGTAGAGGCTACTCTTAGGTTCTATAAGATAAACTAGATATGATTAGAGAAAAAAAAAAATGGTTGGTACATTGAAGACTAGACTATACATGGGGCTAGGTCTGGAACTGGAACTGGATCTGGAACTGGAACTGGGTCTGCGACTTGGGGAGGGGCTCGTAGGTGGTTAGTTTAGATAGTTCGACGACGAATTGGTAAGTGTGACTAGTATTGGTTTATAATTGGCTTATGAGTACTCCGATTGCTCCCCTGCAGCTGAACTGGTTCCGGAACTAGTTCCGCAACTGGCAGCAACTGCGTCGCCTGCTGCTTGCGCGGTCAAGCGACAATATCGCTGCCGGGATTATAGCCAAAGTAGTTGAGATTGAAGTCGTCGCTGAAGAGCACCTCCTCCTCGGACGGCTCCACCTGGTGCGACATCTGTATGCCCAGCTCCATGGGATCGATTTCGGTGATGTAGTACTGCGAGTGGCTGAGCGAATGCTGCTGCTGCTGCTGCTGTTGCTGTTGGTGCTGCTGTTGTTGGTGCTGGCGCAGTCCGCTCTCGGTGACCGCGACGTCCTTGTGTATGGGATTGAGATAGTCTGCTGGAAGCAAGGCGCACGTTTATGAACAGACCACCAAACGAGCCGCGAGCCGCAAGCTACTCACCATTGTCGAGCAGCACGTCCTGGTAGGTGCTGATGATGGAGTTAACCGACTGCACCTCCACCTCCCGATGGATGCCATTCAGTATCTGGCCCGCCGTCTTGCGCAGCTCCTCGTCGCTCAGCAGATCGCCGAAGGGCAACAGGCGCTGCGGATGGGCCTGCGACGTGGGCGACGCCTCGCTCGGCGCCTGCTGCAGCATCTCCTGCGTCAGCGCCGCAGCAGCTGCAGCTGCCTCATCGTAAAGGCAATTCGATTGCTGCTGCTGCTGCTGCTGCGGCGACTGGCAATGTTGCTGCTGTTGCTGCAATTGCTGCTGCTGCTGCTGTTGCTGCTGCTGCTGCTGTTGCTGCTGCTGTTGCTGTTGCTGCTGCTGCATTTGCTGCTGATGCTGTTGAATGCGCTCGCGATTGATCGATTCCATTTTGAAGAACAAATCCAAGCGTTGCTTTTTCTACAATTCAAAGTGTTCTTAGGCATGCAAATGCAGCGCGTTTTTATGCATACTTACATGCTCCCAGGCGAGCACATTCTCCGCGGAGTCGCCGCTGGATATGGCCCACAGGTGGCCGGCGCCTTGGGGCGCCTTGACGCCCTTGCGGAAGTGCGGATTGATGGACAGATTGTGCCGCACCGAGTTCTTCCAGCGATCGTCGTTCGACTTGTAGTAGGGAAAGCGATCGCTGCACGAAACCGACAGGGACAACAACATAGGCACAGTCAGAGCGGAAGCATAAGCCAGAGAGAGAAAGGGAGAAATAGAGGGAGAGAGAAAATGATTAGCATCGTTTGGATGAGCACGTTTTTAAAGCTCAACATTATTCCAATTCTATAGTTTCTATATTTTTTGATTAATTATTAAGAAAAAGTTGAAAATTTGACGCATAAAGAAAGTTTTTCAAGTTTAACATTCTTTCAATTTTATAATTTTCTATAATTTCTGATTAATTATAAAGAAAAAATTTCCGAACTATAAATTTTCCCTCAAATGTGTATTGCCTACTTTTGGACGAGTAAGAAAAGAATAAAATAAAAATACTAAATGATTTTTTTTAATACCAAACTGGTCAAATTGGTAGGAACCGAGTTCAGAACCCACGCGAGTGACCTATGCAGAAATCTAATTCCCAGTAATTTCCTTCGCTCTAGTAACTGGGTAATTTCTTGCGAAATCGGTTCGTGGAGCTTACTTATATTCAAATATATATATATGTATATTCACAAATATTCTCATGCAAGTGCCTACAGATAAATCTCGACTTTGACTAATGCTCAAAATCATATTTTTTCTATTAACAAAGCATAAATAATGTCATAATTTTATATTAATATTTGATATTTCCAATTTCGCAGGGAATGGGAGTATATATTCAAAAAGTGTATGTGTGTTCGTATGTACATATGTATGTATATATGCGTGTAAGTTGTCCTCTATACCAATAGCAGACCAATTTGTTTTGTCGAGCGGCAAATTTAAATAAGAAAACGTATGAATTAAAGCTGCCCTCCTCCTCGATTCTTAAAAATGTAACGAAGGCTTGCAGGCTTCGCCTATGTATTAGTCGCAGGCGGCTTCAACGCTGGAAACTGGGAGGCCGGAGGAGCATGACGGTGGAGCACCAAGGGGGCGGAGCAGGAGGCGTATGTTTGTAGGCATGTATGTTTGTATGTATGTATGTATGTATGTATGTATGTATGTATGTATGTATGTATGTATGTATGTATGTATGTATGTATGTATGTATGTATGTATGTATGTATGTATGTATGTATATATGTATGTATGTATGTATGTATGTATGTATGTATGTATGTATGTATGTATGTATGTATGTATGTATGTATGTATGTATGTATGTATGTATGTATTTATGTATGTATGTATATATATCTGTAAGTATGTATGGATGTATATATATCTGTAAGTATGTATGTGTGAATGTAGGTATGTGTGAATATATGTGAGCATATATAAATATATGGGTATATGTATATGTGTATGCATGTGTGAATATATGTGTGTATGTATGTATGTATGTATGAGTATTAAAAAAAAAATATTCTTAACTAATGCCCTACTATGCGATTCTCATGAATTCAAGTAAGTCGTATGAAATGCCTATGGGCTAAAGTGAAGTGGCGGAGGCGGCGGCTACAATATTGGAGGAGACGGCAGCTTGAGCAAATGAGGAGCCAGAATCAACTTGCAGGAGGCAATGGCTATGGCTTTGGCGGATGCCATTGAAGCAACTAGTACGTATTAAAAACATTTTCAATTATTATTAACAAAAGTAATAACTATTACAATCGTATGTATGCATATTGCTTTGCATTTATTTGAATACATACATGTATGCATGTTTTTGAACATGTGCGTATATTGAGCTGAGCTGAAAATGAACAATAAACGTATTTATAAGTATTGCTCATCTACGCGATTCTCACTAATTCAAGCCAGGTTCAGCAAACCAAAAGCCGTATTTTAAACTAATAAACCATTTTTCTGCTTTCTTTCAGTTATGTGTTTTCAGAAAAAGTGTTTTTATTAAAGTTGGTCTACCGCCTTCCGATAGATGACGATAAAAAAATATTGCGTGAAAGTTGACAGGTGAGTACATAATTACATAATTACATATATACATATATATTTCCTGATTAAGATGCCAAATCGATCTAGAGACCAAGCCATGACCAAAAAGCGCCAAACCTCCAGAAAATCGCTTGACTTTTGACCAAGTTATGGGGGTGGGAAATTTTGACCTATATCTAGGATAATAGCGGGTATACCCCGTCCTTGCCCTTGTCACATTTAAAATAAATACTTACTAAGATCTTTGAAAATGATTTCTAATCCGATCGGACAGTAAACAAGAACTTGCATACAAATGTTTTTGTTGATTTTTCCACACATACGGATGGAATTTCCCAAATAGAGATAGGAAAAATCTTAGTAAGAATAAATTTTTGGGTGGCAAACTATTTTCTTTAAGAGGATTTTTGAGCTTCCCTATTCTCACATATCTGCAAACCCGTAGAAAAATGTCTACAAGGGTATTGAATCGTCGGCATGTCGAAGATATTCATAGTTTCTCGCTGTTAGTTTTTCATTGGCATTTTCTCTGCTTGGTCCGAGCACGGATTGGTCAAACGTGTGGGCCAGAGCGGGGTGTACGCGGCGCCGATTGGCCAGTCGTGGTCAGAACCTACCCCCAATTGTTGTTGGCCTGGTCGGGCTGCTCGAACTATTACAACTTTTTGACCAGTTGCAATTAAAGTTTGAATACGAAGCCAAAGCAGGCAAATTTACATGGAACACGTCATGGCACGCCACTGCGGCAGACAGGAGGGTGGATGGGGCAAGTGGGAGGAGGCGGGAACACGGACACGGACAGGGACACGGACACGGACAGCGGCAGTGGCACAAATTATGCGTCGTTTTGTAGTCAGTCACGAACAGGCGATGTGGACGTGGAGCGAAAAATGGAGTAGCTGGCGGGCAGGTGGCTGCAGCTGAAGCCAACCCCCGACACGGGGCATATGTAAAAGGAAACTACGTCGACCGGAAGGGACATCGCGTGCCAAGCGCGCTCCCACTCTGGGCAGGAACGACACCGACGCAGGCCTGGGACGGCAGCTGGGGGCGGGCTGTGCAACAAAATGGAAAGTATTTCACAGAGAGAGGGAGGGGATGGGGGGGGGGGGGGTTGGTGCACACGCGCCAGGTCCGAAAACAACCCCCGCAGCAGCAGCAGCGCATTGTCATTGGTTAACTGCTGCTCCCTGCCAGCAATCTCTCTGCTTCGCCTCGAGCTCCGTCGGGCAACTCCTCCTCCGAGCTAAAAAGCAATCCAACAATATTTTTTTCTGTATTTCAACACGCGAGGCGCCCATTGTGGGCCGCATGCCCCACACACACACCCATATATATCTATATAGATTTACTTCCTTTTTTTTTATAAATGAACTGGAACGGAATGAAATGGAATGCATAAATCTAAGCCTGGGCTCCAGGCCTGACGCTTGTCTGGCTCAAGTTGAAAGGCAGCGTCAGGCAGCTCTTTAATGATCCCCCCCAACCCCCCGACGCCCGACGCCCGAGCCCCGTCTCCCCCGCTCTGATAACTGTCATTCGGATTGGCTTTCCCTCCGCCCACGCAGACGTCATGACGCATCAGCCAAGGCACACGCCCGAAAGGATGGCACTTCAAATTGGTTGAGTGGAGCGGAGCGAATGCAGCTTGGACTTGATTAGAAGCCGCATCATGTGGCACGGGTCTGAGCTGGTTCCTGGCTCCTGGCGTTCACTATTTTACGCTAGAAATTCGTAATAAATGGTTTCGTATACGACTCGGTACTTGGCATTGCGGGCGGGCGGGGGTGAATCTCATATGTGTGTAACACATTTAGCTGACAGTTTTTTATTTGTTATCATACCCTATATCCGCTGAAAGGGCATGCTGACTATGTGAAAATGTGTGTATATGTATATGGGAATGTTTCCCGATCTATACATGCTTGTCTTCTCTTCGATCTCAGGTGTGGAAGTAATTAGAATATCGATACATATCGATAGTCGAGAGAAGGGGGAGCTGCCTATCAGAGGTTGAAGCAGGCAATATATCGATAAATATCGAGAGTCAAAATATGAAGGAGGTATCTTGGATCCCATTAACTAGATAGGAATATTTCCTGATCTATGTAGGTTTCTTTTCTCTTCGATCTCAGCGATTGAAGCAGCCAGAATATCGATATATATCGAGAGTCAAGAGGAGGGGGAGCTATCTTTTAGAAATTGAGGTGGGCAATACCTCGATATATACATATATAGAGAGTCAGGAAATGGGGGAGCTATCGATTATATCGATATATATCGAGAGTCAAGAGCGCGGGGAGCTATCTTAGATCCCATAAAGTAGATAAGAATGTTTCCTGAGCAATGCATGTTTGTCTTCTCCTCGATCTCACAGGTTGAAGTGAGCAGAGTATCGATACATATCGATTCTCATTAAATGGGGCAGTTATCGTTATCAGAAAATAAACTTGTAATCTAGTTGTTGAGACCTTTAAGAGAGAGCTGGAGCCTTCAAGTCTCGAATGTAGGTTAACGTATATTATAAGCTGAAGAACAGGCTTATTTTTTTCTTCGATAACTTCTCCATCTATTGAATATCGATAAGTTTCATATGGTGGCTTGACTTTTGATACTAAATCCAAAAAGATGGAAAAAATCGAACCAAAATTCGGATATCTTCCACATTCTCCAAAGATTTTAACTTGCTATTAACAGATCCATGCGATTATATTGTTGTGTTATAATATGCTATACTAGCTGGAAGGTTTTACTAAAACAAAAAGAAATCCGCCAGACATATATATAGGATATCCATCGACTATCACATATGCCCAATATGTCACAGGGTATTTGCAGAGACATACGTACTCAGGAACTTTGATATTTTTGGTGCAAAGTTCGAAATTGGTTTGTTTTCTTCATGTTTGGCATGTTTAAGTTATTGTTAGACTCCCCCCAAAATGTGGGCACTGCGAAGCACCCAAATGTACTTGTAAAATTATAAATACGAAATACGGAAAATAGAAAACGGAAAATGGGAATTGGGTGCCCGCCGGAGTTGGATGTTGTGTACTTTATGGAGCTGCATGTCTAGCATGCTTTAATCATGCA